GGCACCCGCTTGCCTTGGCCCCAGCCCCCACCCGACCCAGATCGCACACGGGGGTGGGCCCTGTGTCTCCAGTGGGCGGGGGAGGGCTCCGGTGCAGTGATCAGCACCGCTTGCCTTGGCCCCAGCCCCCGGAAGACCCCATGGCAAACGGGGGGCCTGGATGGTGGCTTACGCTGTCCTACCCTGCCTTCAATATGCAAATTAGCCGCCATCTTTGTTGGCGGTTAACCGTCAACTTAGCTAGCAGTTAATTTGCTTATCGCCCTGATTAGCCAATGGGAAGGGTAGCGGTCGTACGCTAATTACCATGTTTCTCTTTTATTAGATTAGATATGCACTAGAGGCCCGGTGCATGAAATTCATGCACTTGTGGGGGAGGGCATTCCTCAACCCAGCCTGCGCCCTCTTGCAATCTGGGAGCCCTCGGAGGATGTTCGACTGACAGCTTAGGCCCACTCTCCTAAGCTGGCAGTTGGACATCCTTAGCACTGCTGTGGAGGCATGAGAGGCTCCTGCCACTGCCGCTGCACTTGCCAGCTATGAGCCCAGTTTTGGCTGAGTGGCCCTCCCCCTGTGGGAGCACACTGACCACCAGGGGGCAGCTCCTGCATTGAGCGTCTGCCCCCTGGTGGTCAATGCATGTCATAGCGATGGGTCGTTCTGCCGTTTGGTCGATTTGCATATTAGCCTTTTATTATATAGGATTTTGTCTTACCATTGTGGTTATTATATATTTTCATGTAGAATGTTCGTATTTAGGTTAAACTTTTTATAGTATTGTAAAAAGTAATATTTTTCACTTGATTTTGCTGCAGGTACAAACTCGAAGTGCTGATGAACCGATGACAACATTTGTTGTCTGCAATGAATGTGGAAATCGATGGAAGGTATGGCGCCTTCTTGGATTCATATTTTACTCATGTATAATAGAATGATTTCTTCAGGTCTTTTCATAATCCTATGTAGATACCTAAATATATACATATGCTCACACTGTTTAGTACTATGGGAGTCTATGACTAACCATTTGTAATGGAATATACTACTTTGTACTCTGTTAGAAATAAAGAATCTTAACTTTCCTACCTTCATTTTGTTTTGGTTCAGGAATAACATGATTGAGGTTTATATGTTTGGTTACTGTATCTTAGTCCTGTATATACTATACTCATTCATTTGCTTCCACTTTTGTACTCCAGAAAATTTGTTCATATGTATTATTTCTCTTCATAGATTTTGTTTCTGAAAAAATTACTTAGTTGAATCCAGTCTAATGGTTTTAGTGTTATTTTAGGAATTACAGATGAGCACTGTCATGGTTTGGTAGGGTTTTTACTAAGCCTTCATATTGCCTATATATATACTCTTGAATTAGCCCCACACCAGCAAGTTTATGTTACTTAAATGATTCATGCTTGAGTGATTTTTGCGAGCCACAATAATATAATTTAAAATTGGGAGAAGAATTGCAGATTCGTCCTAAGATCATTTTATTGTTGTAGACATGAAGATGTTAGGGTATGGGATTGGCAAGGTTCACATAGTAGGAATATAATCTTTGGAGCCAAATAGGTTTATAGTTCCTTTGCCACTTACTCTTACTGAACTAATATTTTATCATATATTAAATGTAAATAATACCTACATTAAAGGTTGTGGTGAGGAGTAAAGGTAATATATTTAAAGTGCCTGATAATTGTTGGTGTTCCAAAAATACTGACTGCTTGTATTAATTTTTGTGAGGTTGGTACAAGATTTTTGTTGTTATACTTACATAGACATTTAAGTCTAATGTTTATTTTTAATTATTCACATAAAGCATTTTAAGGTTAAAGCATTTTCTGAAACTCAGAAGTGAATTAAAAGCCAGACAGTGGGGGAATATCCTCTACAAATATGGAATGGGACTTTGGCCCTAGACACTATTTTAGGGGTTTAGACCAATACCCATTTTTTTATATACAAAGATTTAATTCTGAGCTGAGAAAGTTACTCGTATTGAGAGTTTCTTCATGGTTTGAAATAGTGTCTCCTATCCTGAGTTGGCAGAGCTAAGAGGGATATTCCCTTTTTTTTTTTCCAATCCTATTGAGCAAATCTGGCTTTTCCAGATAACTCTCTTAGATTTCTTTTGTATGATGGAGTATTTTTATTAGTAGTAGTAATATTGGGGTTTATAACGGTTTGTTTTGAATACAAGCAGTTTGCAACATAAGTTCTGACATAGTACCTATTGGATTTAACAAAGTATATTTTAATATAAAAACTGATGCTATGATGGCTACTCTAGAAGTTCTAATTTGGAATTAATGTTTTTAACCTGAAAACATTAAGAAGATAGGTTCTTTTTATTATTATTTTTAAAATAAATTTATGGGTGTAATAGTAATCAGTATGTGTGTGTGTATATATGTGTGTGTGTGTGAATGGAGGAGGGCGAGAAGAGATTAACCAAAGATCTTATATGCATACTAGAGGCCAGGTGCATGGATTTGGGCACCGGTGGAGTCCCTCGGCCTGGCCTGCGGGGATCGGGCCAAAACCAGCAGTCCGACATCCCCCAAGGGGTCCTGGATTGTGAGAGGGTACAGGTGAGGCCAGTGCACGAATCCATGCACCAGGCCTCTAGTAATATATAATACATCATCTGTATAGTGTGCTCACTACCCAAAGTCTAGTCTCCTCTATCATCATATATTTGACCCACAATACCCTTTACATCCTCCTCCAAACCCCCTTCTTTGGAACCTACCATACTGTTGTCTGTGTCTAAAAGAGAGGTTCTTGATTTTTTAAAATTTTATGCTACTTTAGTTATATATTTCTACTAATTCTAAGTTGGAGAAGTCAAACACTTAAGAAAGGTGATTATTTATATCTGAAAAATATGGCATCTTTTTAAAAAAAATCTCTTTCTTAGCAATATAAAGTGTATGCTGTGTTAAGTGGGAGAAGGGATACACCCTATTGTCTTATTTAATGGTCTTACAAAATATTTCTTCTTTTTTGACAGTTCTGTTGAGTTGGAAGAACTGGGAAAATGTCTGGACCATTGAGAAAATGGATTTTGTAACTGGCTTTAAAACTAGGCCAAGGAAGTAGTTTTTCTGCAAATCAGATTTTTAAAGAAAATGCATCCCTTGGGTTAGTCTTTGTTTTTGACATAGTATCATCCTTTCTTAAATGCCCGTAGTTTCAGATCAGTAGGGAGACTACATAATAATTATATGGTATCTATTTCAATTTTTTTTTTCATTTTTATAAGTAATTGATATTAAATTTTTGGCAATTTATTTTTACCTTTTTTTCCTTCTTAAAGGAAAATTACCTTAACTTTTTTACAGTCTGAAACAAACACAGTAGAAATGTTATTCTTCTCAGTTAATACATAAATGAAAATTACATTTTTTCTTTATTGGCATGTACCTGCAAATATTAAAGGAGGAGAAGGGTAATATAATTGTAAGTTTATTAAATGTGGTGTATACTTGACTAGCTTCTCTAAATTGTACATAATATTTGAACTAGCATATGAAATTGTTTTTAATTATTATATTCACAAGTCTGGGATAATTAGATACTATTTTGCATTTGTAACTAACCGTGATCATTATTTCTTGTAATTTCTTGTACATGTTTATTACTTGTTCTTAATGGATTTTACTTTTGGAAACATGACTTGGCTTTGTTGGAATCAGTTCAGTTTTGTTTTATGTACCTGTTTGAATTTATAGTATTTTAGTTTTGCAGAACACTGGAAAAAAAGAAAAGAAAAAAAAATTGTAAATGGAAGATTATAAGAGAGGGTTTCGCGTGCCAGCAAAAGTTACTGGCATGCCATGTTTGGCACGCGTGCCAGCGGTTGCCCACCCCTGCTCTAGGAAAGGGCTGGGAGAGTTCTGCCAGTACCTGGAACTCTGGACTGGCCAGTACCAGAGTCCAGGGAGAGTACAAACAGCTCCGGTCTTATTCCTATGTATGCCTTATTCAGTCTTATTTGCTATCAAAAGATCTATCTTCTTCATTCTGGTCTCCCCAGTTTGTCAGTAATGAGGGACTTGTATGGAAAGGGTGGAACTCTACTTTAGTTAAGACTAGGACTTTACATCCCCTAGTGAGATAATCTCCTTGATGATATAAGCGTTTAGTATCTAAGGCTAGTTTTTTACAATTGAAACACTGGAAAGGCTGTCAAACTTATTTGACCAAAAGATCTACACTAATAAAATACAAACATGCAAATTGACTGTACCTTCGCTATGCCTTAA